TGTCAGGAGGATCTAAGTTTGTTTAATTATGGTAATGATGGTTAATTTTTTTTTTTTTGCATCGCAGTAACGCCAGTGTGTCGGAAATGCGTTTTATTGTCACGAATCTAATTTCAGTGTTGAAATGTGAGCCGCGTGTGTTCCGCGACTGCAGATCGGCCAATCAGAGCACTTTAAATGTTGGTCATCAGCCGATGATGTCATATCTTGGTCGAGCGATGACATCATCACCCGCCGTCAGACGGTTTAATATCGCCAACGTTTTTTGTCCTCTGGAGTTTAATCATTGTAAATAATGAGAATAAGATGCAGATGGTGTGATTTACTGATATGATTCAGAGATTTATGTTGATTGTGATTTTGCTGCAGGATTTACACAGTAAACAAAAGCTGCTGTTCGTAAACTGCGTGTGATTTCAGTGTTTCTGTGATTGTTCGTCACATTTGGAGTGAAAACAGATGTAATTCACTCTGGACGTCAGGTGTTAAGAATGATGGTCATTTTATAATGTCTAATGCTGCTCTGAATCCAATACAACAACAACAAAAAGCTGTTTATAAGGAAGTTTGCAGTAGAGATTGAGTTGATCCAGGTGAGAAAATCTCAGTTTTTACTTCTTTACTATATATATATAATTATTAATTAACGAAAAATAAAAGACACAAGGTATAATAATGCTACAATAAATATCAATATTTGTCAGAAATAACTTTTAAACAACAGTACTAAGAAAAAAAAAAAAGCTTTTTGATTATAACAATAAAAAATAATAAAATAAAAGATGCCTCATTTAGCGACCGCCATACGTAAGCCGTCCGCCATATTGTAACGGTCAACTTGACGTCATTCACTGATGCCACAATCCTGCACAGAAAGGCTCTGTGAGAACCTACAGTATGGTGAATGACGTCAAGTTGACCGTTCCAAGATGGCGGCCGCATCTACGTGCCTGGAGCCGTCGAATGGGGCTTCTATACACATCTAATGGCTGGAACGCGGCGGAAGTGAATGTGGAGGACCGGATGTGAGTCTCTCTCTTGACGGCAGGGGGCGCTCTGTGGCTCAAACACACGAGACTTTGGACTGGATATCTGCTATACACAATTATAGAATACAAATGATTATTTGTATTATTATATATTTTTTAGTATTTACTAACATGTTCATTAACAGAAATGGGGGGAAATAGACAATCTTAACACCCATCATAACAAAACACAATTTATACATTATATTGAGATGCTACACACACAGCTATTTCATTTTATCCCTCTGAATATTATCATTCGTGTTCATTTATTCATTTATCATAGTTTTACTCTAGGTTCTGCAATGAAAGCCTCTTAAACATTCTGCTTTTTAGCTCACGTGTTTGTTATTTCTGTTTATTTTTATATACTTCTTTTTTTTAAGCTTTCAGATGATGCATACATCTCAATTTCACAAAATTGACCCTTATGGCTGGTTTTGTGCTCCAGGGTCACGTTTATGCTAACAACCCGATTTCCAAACAAAGTTGCTATCTTATAAGTTCCTGTTTGAGCGCCGCCTGCCGGAGGACCAAGGCGCTGCGTCCGCCGCGTGATCGGTGTCGCGGTGCATGTCGGGCCGCTGGAGGTGGTGAGTATCCCAGCCTGCGCTGCTGCTGCTCCGGAGAGAATGATGGGATAGCGGCGGACACACAGCAGCGCTAAAGACACGCACACCGGCATTATTCGCGTTATTCCCGCGCTCTGTCCGTCTATGTGTGTGTTTGGGGTGTGTGTGTGTGAGAGAGTGTGTGACACGAGGCCTGCGGCGTGCGCGTGTCTGCGTTCATCTGCACTGTAAACACACTTACAAAAGTACTGTGGTAGTACCATGGTACAGTATTATCACCAGAATCTTGTTACAAGTGATTTACATGGTGCTCCCGGGTTCCTCGAACACACCACGGGATTACCATGGTACACGTGGAAAAACATGGTAGTACCATGGTACTTTTAAGTGTGTTTTGCAGCAGCGCAAATATGGTGCTTTTAACTTATTTTAAAACTCAACTGGACAGTATGTTGCTTAGCAACAGCACCAGTGTCTGCTGGATTTATTGTAGTCAACTTCTGTTGCTAAGCAACGCCAAAAAGTTCGTTAGTTGGC